AAGTTGTACAAATAATATTTAAGCGGCAAAACAACAATATTATGAACGAATGTGTTAAAAACAAACGTAGTGAAGTTGCTAAATCTTTTAAACGACTTTAATTCGTTGAAAATAGATTTTTTTTTATTTCTTTGCAATTAATTTTATATTAAAATGGCAGTGAATATAAATAATTTTATTAAAATAGAAACTTTTTTTCTCAATTTTTCTAGTGTTTCCCTAAAATTATTTGTTTCAAATGTGAATGAATTTTATGGACATTATGAATATATTCTAGGAACTAAATAGAAAGATTTTAATTTAAAATATTTTTATTCAAATTAAAATTCAATTATTAAGCCTTAAATGTTGCTATTAACTGTTTTATAACCTTTGGAACCTATCAATTTATTTTGAATTGGCATTTATTTAAAATTGAATTATTGCGCGTGTTAATTTTAATAGTAGGACCTCCTTCCTGTGGAGGCCAGGTTGGTCAGGCTTCGGCAAACAGGAAGCTGGGGGCTTTCTCGAGGATGGCGTCGAGTTGGGTTCTGATCCTGCTCTTCTTAGATGGTGGGTTCGAGCCAGTGGTTTCCTCTTCGCTTGTCTCCACATCCATTGGCTCAATGGGTGCAGAGGCGGTCTGGAGCGCGGGGATCCGCGGAGCAGGTAGAAGATAAGGAAGGGCTCTGGACTGAGTACTTTCTCAAGTTGATTCAGCAGGCTGTTCATTTGCAAATGCACACCCGGATCAAAAAGGGTTCAGATATATTGTCTAGGCAAAAACTTTCAGAAAAATGTCTTTTACATGAAAATATTTATATACAAAAAAAAATGGATAACATAGATATGCCTAGTCTTTTTTTTATATAAATAAGGTAGTGTTATATGTTTTTGGGAATTGGCATGTGGTGGAATGGTATAAACCAGAGGTCGGCAACTTGCGGTTCTTTAGTTCCATACGAAAATAGTATTTATTTCATATTAAAAAAAAACATTTAAAATCGTTCTGAATCGATTAACGAGGACGAGTCATCGATTCTATCTCTTAGCCATTTGTCTCGCTTTTCACTGGCACCCCTCCCCTGGGACAAGCGTCGTCACTGTTGTCAGTCTGTAGGTTGAATGATGCTGTCTGTCGTAGTTTCTATGTAGGTTTTAATTATCTTTGGCTGTGACATATAGTTTGGTTTTTCAAGTAAAAGACTTAGAAGCTAATTATCTTCTCAAAGTTATGTATGTACATATAATAATAATAATAACTTTATTTTACAAAAAGGTTACACGTTTTTCTCTAAAAAGTGCAGCGAATGGTCAGTCTATTTACATATTTTTATTTACAACTTCAATAAATAACAACAGTAAAAGTAAACAAAGATATTTACATTTGCTATCTTGACTCCTGGCCAGTGCTGTGGCCCTTGCCGTTATGTTCCCCTGATGTCCTGCAGCTCTCCAGCAGTCTTTCTATGGCCTCTCCTGGTGGTTCCTCGATAAGATGGTCCCCTGGCCTTGATCCATTCTTGTCTGTCAGGTCTCCTGTCATCTGCTCTAGGTCGTTCTCCTGGATCTCTTCTATGGTCGTCGTATCCCTGTGCTTCATGTTCGGTGTTCCACCTTCCTCATCTGCACACGCCAGCTCCTCACATCGTTCCAGCAATCTATCTATGGCTTCCATTTCTTTATTTCTCTGTAACTTATAGTGAGGTTCATTCTTCTTTTCTGTGAATATAATTTCCATCGTCTTTTTTAGCACCAGATATTGAATATATGCGAAGTCCCTTTTTCTTGTGTTTATTTCCTTCCCATATTGTTTGTTATATTTGGTTACTATTCCATCCCATGTTAAGACTATCGGTACTACTTTTATGGGCATTTTTTCGGTTTGAGCCATTTCCCTCGCCAGTAGCTGGTATTTTCTTTTCTTTGTTAGCTCCGTATCTTGGGAGGTAATGCCTATCTCTATGATTGTTATGTATACTATTATATCAGTTTGTTAGCTCTGATATTGATATCGCTTATCATTGTCAGGTCCGTTATTATTTTGGCGTATGAATTTTCAATTTTATTTGTTATTTTATGGAGCTTCATTTTGTTGTTCTCAGTGATATTATACTTTCTTGACAGATTGAAGTGGACGCATCTCACCACTTCATTATGCCTTTCAGTGTAATCGTAAGGAAGCAATCTTCCACAGTTTGTAGCAAGGTGGCCCACCGTCCTCTGTACCTTTTCACAGTGAGGGCATTTCAGGTTTTAATCCTTCGGGAACACGTTTCTATCTTGGATGAACATATAAAAACCTTCATTTTGCGGAGTGTTGTTTCCCGTTTTGAGCCACTGTGAGGATTCTATCATGTCCAATAGCGGTTGGTCTTCATTTTAATGAATATTCATATTAATTCATAATAATAATAAACCAAAGTAAAGGTAGAAAACATAAGTATTATATTTTTAAAATACATATTGTACATTTTTTTAAAATAAGATATCTAACTACTTTTTTGAAGTCAATAAGAATTGTCAAGAAAGAAAGTACTACTGTTAGGCATTATTTAATATTTATATATTTAAGATTTTTAAAATTAAAATATATGTCATAATTTGTACATAACTGGATGTAACCCCACCACAATATGTATGCAATGTATGATCTAAAGATTTTAATAAAAGCTAGGCTTAGCGAATCTGGGAGAAAGGCCATCAGAGAAGAAACGATCATTAGCAGGTTTTCATTATCCAGGAAGCAAAAGTTATTACCCAGGAACTCATAACACTGAGTTCAAGAACCTCTTCTTCCGGGAGCATGTTAAAACAAGACAAAGACAAAGGAATAGCTAAGACCCAATCAGAGTCCAGGAGGACTAGCTAAGAGCCAATGAGAGACGGCCACGAGTCGACAGTCATCCAATGAGAACATTGAAGAGTTAACGAGTTAAATCTCGGACTCAGGTTGATTAGTAGGGGACCTCGGCACCATCGCAAGAAGTTAGGAGCTGGACACCGCAGCAAGCAGTACGCTTCAAGCCCTTCTCAGCATCCAGATAAGTCCAATGTTTAATATGTGAACAGCCTAGACTTAGTCAAGAACCCCATTCTCCCTTGATCGCTGGCCTATTTCAATCCAATCCTGTGTCCTCGTTATTTTCCCCTGTGTGAATACCTTACTATCTCAGCAAAACGACTGCGCCCACACCAACCACCAAATAAGTCAACAGGGTCTACTTACTACAACAATCATCAATCAAACAACTCAATCAACCACCAAAAAGGCCAGAATATATTACATATATGTAATAAATTACCAAATTGTGAAAGGGGAGGAGTGTATCAAGAAAATATATCTTGCTCACAATATAGTGAGCATGGTATTGAGAGTTTGGGTCTTTAGTGTAAGTTTAAAACCACACATTTAAGATGTATTCCTGATAGTTTTGTTCTGAAACTTTCCCCAATTGACTGGAGTTTATGTAAGAACATTCCTATACAATGAGTTAAGAATGGTGACTGCGTGTATAAAAGCACACAAACCTAGCTTTTTCAACATTGATATAAAATGGGATGGTCATTGCTATGGAAGTCAAATATTACTTGCAGCAAAGTAATAGGTGGATCTCATGTAAGTTGTTAAGAAGTAACCATGGCTATATGAAAAAGGTTCTAAAAAGATAAGTTAAGACAGCAGCAATTTTCTGAGGAGCACCTCAGTCTCTAAACTTTTGGAGAGAGCTCAGTATCATCTTTAACCACTATAATTGAATACTGTCGGCAGTACTGCGCCTATGGAATTAATTCAATGGGTCCATCTCGCCTTCGTAATAGAAAAATGGGCAACGCTTCACTATTTTGCGTGTCATCCTTGCGCAGGGGCCATGTTAGTCTTCTATGATTTGTTAAAATTTTAGTATATGTACCGCCAAACAGGCGTGTACAGAAAAATGGGGAGATAGCTAGCTTTATTGTCTATTGATTACACATTGGATTAAGCTCCATATTTTTTGTGCACTTAGAGCGTTAGTTGCAGTAATATAAAAACAACCACACATAAACTACACCTAACCACAACGATAAATAAATATATATATATATATATATATATTTAATGAATTACCCATTTTATTATTTATCTATTTTATAGCTTTTATTTTTAAAAATATCGTTTATATAATAATTACTAGAAGAACGACCCGGGTTCGCCCGAGAAATCCCCCGAGTGAGGTATCCTTCATACTGAAAGTACATCAATAATAAATAGTAGAAGTGCCATAGAATAGCAATAGAGGAAGAAACACATAAACTACAGGAAAAAAGTGTGTAATGGCAAAAATTGTATTATATTAGTGTTTAGGTATTTGATTTAATTATTTTTTGCAATCCATTTAGTTGTTCAAAATTAATATAGTTTAAATAGACGGCAGCTTTTCCACCAAACCCCCATTAACCTTTGAAATTGCCTGAGTTGAGTGACTGACTGTAAAGAATCCTGACTGCGATGCCCATCTTCCCAGTAAGAATAAAAAAAAATAGGTTTATAAATAAAATTAATCCAAAATACTGGCATGTAAATATTTTTCTGTAAAAAAATAAAAGAGCATATGGAAATATTAGGCAAACATATGTGTTCGCTAATGATTGAGACTACATTTTAAACGATTTTTAAAAAGAGATTTAAACAAATAAAGGCCAGAACAAAAATTAATAAAAAATATGAAATCCATTATTAATATATAGAGGTATCAGAGTCATCAACAATTCGTTAACAAGTCGTCAATAATTCTGTCACCGTTTGCTTTTGTGAATAAAAAAAAATAGCAGAGCGTGGTTTCGATCCACGGACCTCTGGGTTATGGGCCCAGCACGCTTCCACTGCGCCACTCTGCTGTGCAAAAATTGGACAATAAATATTTTTAATATGAATGTAAATGAACCTATTATTAAATATTAATTAAAATATACAAGTATTAATATATACAGTTATCAGCGTCATGCACAATTCTTTCTTAATTCTGTCACCGTTTGCTTTTGGTTCAGTGGTAGAATGCTCGCCTGCCACGCGGGCGCCCCGGGTTCGATTCGATTCCCGGCCGATGCATTTTTTTTTTTTTTTACAATTTTAAAAATCATTTATATTATTAAAATATATGTGCTTTTCCTGTCTATGTACAGATTTATGGTCTATGTACACAAGTATACAAGTATGTATACAAGTTATTTGCAAATTGCGTGGCAAATTTGCCCTTTCGCTCGCAAGCAGCGCCTCTAGCGGTGAAGATGGGAGGTAATATCAGCTGACCTAATGGACATGTAAAACGTGTTTTAACAGGACATAGAGAAAAATCTGGAAAATATATTTTTCGGATTTTTAGTCAAGAAAAATAAATTGACAGGTTCTGGGAAAAAAGTAGCTGTTTTTTAATTCAGAAAATGATGATGACAATATTGCTGTATCATTCTATATACAGTTACGAGCGTCATTCTTCATCAGTCATCTCTGTCACCGTTTGCTTTTTTTTTTGGAATGGCGCCCTCCTATTGGTCGGCTACGATCACGCCACCTTAGTTGGCAGGTTCTGGGCAAAAATAGTTGTTTTTTTAGTCAGAAAATGATGATGTCAATATTGCTGTATCAGGTTTGATTATCAGATGCAAAATTATATGGGGAAAAATTCCAAAAAGCAGGGACCAGGGGTAAAGCCAGTTCATTTTTAATATGCTGGAACAAAATTTTAACAGAAAAACATTCATTCGAGCAGAAGACACAAAGCCAGATCATCTTCTTCTATATATATAAAAATGAATGTTTGTATGTTTGTCTGTTGGTTGGTTTGTATGTCCGGTATACAAATTCGCAGTAGTTCACTAATTCAAACCAAAATTTCCATACATAGGTAAAAAATAACGAGGATGACGATAGGCTATTTTAAAATATATATAAATCATTTATTAAAACTATATATTCAAATTATTCAACTTAGCTCACGAGCAGCGCCCTCTAGAACACTCAGGCGGGCGACGGTGGCGCGCGACGATTGGCTGCCGGCGCAGCACGTGACTGCCCTGCCCCCCCCCCCCCCCCCCCCGCCGAGTAAATGAGATCTCCCGGGTGACGGCCGGCCGAGCAGCGCCCTCTAGAACGCGTGACGATTTTGACGGCGCGGGGCGCTCCCAGTTGGACAGTTGCGCGGGGGCAGAGTGACCTCGCGGGTGCCCTCCGGGAACTACGTCCATCTTCCATATGTAATATACATTTAATCGTGTAAACCCGAGCGTTGCCCGGGTCATTCGTCTACAAATTCGCAGTAGTTCACTAATTCAAACCAAAATTTCCATACATAGGTAAAAGAATACTGGGTTTAGTTTGATTATCAGATACAAAATTATATCGGGAAAAATTCCAAAAAACAGAGACCACGGGCGAAACAGGGTACATTTAATAGGGTAAAACCCGGGCGTTGCCCGGGTCATTCGTCTAGTCTCTCTATAAAAATATCGCTTCTCAGAAACAAAGTTTGGAGCGGGACGTTTCACAAGAGTGACATCCACGGCGCCAATTTATAATTGTAACGAATAGTATTTGAAAATCAAAATAATAGAATTTTCAAATATCGTTGTGGAATTTACATTTTTATTATTTTTTATTTAAAAAAACACAAAGTTTGGAGCGGGACGTTTCACAAGAGTGACATCCACGACGCCAATTCATAATTGTTACGAATAGTATTTGAATAAAAAACATTTAATCGGGTAAAACCCGGGCGTTGCCCGGGTCATTCGGCTAGTATGAATTTACCGACAGATTTGAGGAATTCAAAACCAACAAAACCACTATAGCATTTATAGTAAATCCTCTCAACACAAATAGTAACTAAATCCACATTGAGCCATTAAGCATTAATACTGGATCTCTAGAAATGCAATTGTTCGATTTAAAAAATAAAGCTTTGTGGAGTGTGAAATTTACAGAGTTTAAAAGCAAGTTGGAAAAGTTGGAAATCCAGAAATATATGTAAGTGTAGTTTAGTAAAGCGCATCCCCAATTCACTTTAATTGTCGTACGTCCTATTAGAGCCCGCTTCAAAAAATTTGTGTATTATAATTCACTCTAATTGGCTTACGTCTGGAGATTCCCCGTAATAAACTTTAAATACAACTTTTTTTTTTAAATGTGTTGCATCCCCAATTCACTTTAATTGGCCTATGTCCTATATGTGCGTTAAATAGCTGGCCGTCATTTTAATTGCCCTAAGGATTCCCAATTCACTTTAATTGCCCTCCTACGTCATAGGTGACCATTCTTTATTGGAAACATGTTACAAGTATATGACGTAATGTCAGGGTCATATATACATATATATATAGGCCGATATTTTCTCAAATTGCAAACAGATTATGGAGGCATTCAACAGTATTACCTCTTATCCACCTCTCATAAAATTTGATGAGCTGGAATTAGGCAGTTATAAACTGATAGAACTCAAACTAGTTGAAACCCGCTTCGGTCCATCAGTCAAGGCGGTTATAGAAGTAAAAGATTCTCAGCGGACACTATTTCTTCCAAAAAGATATTCAAAGCTGAAGCAATTTCAATTAGACGAAATCATCAAAGAAGAATGCTGCTTGATTTTCAAGGAACGCATCAGGAGTACGACAAACTTAGAAATCCAACGTTTGTAAATATGCTCCGTTTGTGTGCACACTTTTTTCTCTTTGAGTCTAAAATGTAATAAAGTTCATGTTGAAAAAAAAAAGTGTTTGTGTGCTCATTTTTTTAAAAATCTGTCATATCTTTTACCAACTGATATAACGATATAATATTTATGGAAATGTGTGTCAAAAATATATATTTAAAAAAAAAGTGTACATTTTTAAATGGCCAAGCTTTTCCATCTAACTTTGGCACTAAAGAGGAAGAAGAAGAAAACAAAGTTTAATATTTTAATAGGTTTTTTCAAAAAACTATTTATTTCAAATGTATAATGAAAGAAAAAAAAAGATTAGGTAAAGATTTTTTATTATTTCAAATAAATGGGGATTTATATAAAAGTCTTTTTTTTTTTAATATTAGAATTAGGATATAATTTTAAATTGAATAATCTTTTGTTTATTTATTTTGTAAAAAAAAATGTATACCACATTTTGTTTAGGGTTATTTGAAAATTGTATGAAAAACACCGTCAATGCATGTATTTTAGTGTAGAAAAAAAAAACACAAGAAGATTAATTAAAGATTTTTTATTATTTCAAATAAATGGGGATTCATATAAAAGTCGTTTTTTTTTAAATATTAGAATTAGGATATAATTTTAAATTGAATAATCTAGATAATTTGACACATATATCAATATACTTGTCAGGAAATATGCTATTTGCAGCATTTATAAGTTCTTCCGCAGTTATTTGAGGAAAAATGACAAACATAATTAAATCCAAATACTTGAAGAATATATCAGCAACTTCAATAGGTAAAAATATAGTCTTATAAATTCCACGAGCCTTCTTCATCATGATAATTTCAAAATCACTTCTTAAAATTCTCAATTTAGGTGATTCTAAATAATAAAATAGATCCTTTATTTCATTAGCGTTGAAGACTAATCCGACTCGGGTGGGTTTGCCGTTTGATTTGCATTTCCCGAGCTCTACACGTCGATGAGATTTGAAAAAAAGTTTATAATTTCGAAGCAGAGGAAGAGCGAGAAGCGTTTTGTCCAGCATCATATCGCACTCTGAGCTTTTTATTTCCATGTAGACCCAGGAGGTAAAAAAGCCAAATTACTCATTGGGGTTTTATTTATTTATTATTGTTATTTTTTTTTGCTTTAAATTTGATTTTTTTTTTATCATGAAAGAAATGCCAACCCCATCGCCAAAAAAATTTAGCACGAAGCTTTTTTTAGCTCTACACAAGCATTTCATTCATTTTATTGCACGAATAGTGGGATTCAAGAAAGCTTTTATACGAACACACATCGCAGAAGCTACAATGTTCGATATATACGGCGTGCAATTTGCAATTCACGCCTATTGTTTTCGATTTGGGTACGTTATACTTTTTTTCAAGATCGATCGATGGAATATTTAATTTATCGAATATATTTTTCTCAATACATCCGCCTTTATATGCGAAAGTGCCTCCAAAATTTGAATATAATTCCAAAATATATTTTTCCACGTCGCAAATCCAATTGCCTTCTCTCCTTGGTTTTTGACACATGAATAGTCCGTGAATTTTCTTCGTGCAATATCTAACTGTTCTTTTGTCCCTCTCACTTAAATGACAATATGTATAATTGGGATTATATATTTCAATTCTTTCACCGAGGTCGCGGTGTAGGTGCGTCCAAGAGAGTTGGCGAAGTAGCATACCGCTCTCTAGCGGAAAAGCTTCAAAATCAACGATACAAGATATCTCGTACATGACACAGGCAGGAGAATTCCGAAATAGTCAGCTGTACGCTTCGTTCACCGGGCTTCAACTGTCCCTTCCACAAATAAAATTGTCTTATGTCAATGACGTCATTGCACAAATGTGCGTAGATCTGTCTTCCTAAATGGGTACCGTTCAAACAAGGATTCAAAATCGCATTAGAGATTGCACAACCCATAGGTCTTTCCGTACTATTAAAAGATGGGCTGGGAATTGTCATAATGGGAGATACTGTCATTATTATTATGCCACAGAGGAGGAGCGTTATCACAATTACCCATTTAAGAAAACCAAATAATTTTCGAACACCCGTTGCGCAAACTCGCTTTAGGGACACATACCTCTGCATCGTCACGAGTTTCGAGGATAATTATATTTCCCGATTCTAGTTTGTGCGTTAAATAGCTGGAATTTTCTTGGCGGTGTCTGAACGTTAGAGATCTTTCTTTGCCTAAGCACAAGAAGGCATTGACCCCGATTGGAAGGGGCCTCCAAGATTTAAAAATTTCTCCTCTATTTACGGAAATAACTTCGATAGTATGAAATGGATGAGGAGTTATATTACTGATTCTTTTACTAAGAAATTCAACGTCTATGCTTTTTTTACGCGCTAAATGCCATGAAATAGAAGGCTTGAATAATTTATATTTATAGATATTGATATT